AAAGGAAAGATAACAAGGGAAAACTCGGTCCCTAAGTTTAGTCGAATTCGACAACGACGTACGCGGATTATCGTCGAACACGGTTCGTCGCTGACTGACTGGAAGCTTTCAAGTTACGAGAAAGCTCCTCGCTGTCCGTCGGTCGCGCGCCACTTTTCCACTGCACAGACGCACTGTTACCTTTTCATACGTTGCTTTAAGCAAACGTAGCTGTCGTACACCTTTCTGTTCGTATGACAACGGCAACAATTTTCATGAAAAAATTTCTTCAAAAAAAAAAGAAAAAAAGAAAAAAAAAAGAAAAAAATAAAAGAAATAAAAAAAAATAAAAAAATACCATCGTTAAAGAAAACAAATCTCTTTGATTATTTTCTCCTTAATATTTACATATAATATACATTATTTAATATATATCGTATATCATGATATTGATCAAATCGATTATCTTTTGTCAAATTAAATATTACGGTATATTAATTTCTCTCGAATTTATTACAAAAAGAAAATCTATTCGAGTGTATGATTTATTTGAATTCGATGATAATAATAAATATCAGTTCGTTCGAGCGTGTTAATAAATCCATTATTTACCATTGATTGTGTAAAAGGAAAAGGATCGAACGATTTGAATCTTTTATTATTTTGAAATTACAAAGAACGAACGAGAAGAATGATTCATATCGTTCTTATCATTAAACATTCCAAAGAACAATTGAGGAACGATTAATAATTTATTCAATTGTCAATGAAAATTTTTATCCCAAATATTCGTCGAGAAACAACAAAGAGATAAAAGTTTAAATATACGAGACAATTTTCCTGAATGACTTCTGAAAAATTGGCCAATGCCGATTTAATAGATATTCTTCGAAGAGGAAGAGTTAATTTAATTTTCTATGATAAAAATAAATGAGAGAAGAATAGAAAATGAGCGAGATTTACTGTTCTATTGTACAAACGACTTTATCCTTTTCGAAAGAAATTATTAAGTTTGTCGAAGAGATCGACGTCATCTGGAAAAGTAGGAATATTTTTCTCCCTGACCTTTATGATTGGTTTACGTCTCTCTCTCTCTCTCTCTCCTTCTTTGTTTTCTTTCTCTCGTAAGAAGAAATGGGGATCAAAGGACTTCTTCCATTTGTTTGTCCACTTTTATCAAGGATATTATGTATTTTCATGCGTTTCGTTTACATTCTACTTTTCATTTAACAGAAGTAAAATGGAAGAAGGAGAGAGAGAGAGAGAGAGAGAGAGAGAGAGAAAGAGAGATAAAGAGAGAAGGATAAAAAGAATATGCTTGTAAAACTCTACAGGGTTTCCCTTTCTCACTTTACAAAGCTTTTTAGTCTAGCCTGGCGTCGAAGTTAAGACGCCTTTTCATATTTCTTCGACATTGAATACATTATCCGTCACCATTTATTCTTTAAAGGACTACTCTATTTCTTCTTCCAGATCTTGATCTTTTAATGTAAGCTCTCTTACCAATTCAAATCTTTCTCGATATGACCAAGAATCTCGACGAATTTTAATGCCTTTGAAATCTCGATCGATACGCCCCAGCATGCAACTAAGGGATAGAGACAGAGGGATAGAGAGAGAGAGAGAGGGAGAGAGAGAGAGAATAATGGAGAAAAAGAAAACAGAAAAAAAAGTAATTCGGCGACTGTCCATTTGTAATGCAAAATCTTTTTTTCGAATCCTCTGTAAATGAAATAATTCGGAATTTTTTATCCTTCGTAAAAAGATATATATATATATATATATATATGTATATAATATTATCCCCGAATATATGAATATAATATTTTCAATTTGTTTATTTTTTTCTTTCTATATCTCAAAAATAATAATATAATAGTATATATACATATACATATAATAATATTATATATATACACATATAATATATATTTATACAAAAATTGCATATTTATACATGTATATATTACAGAAAAAAAAATATATATATATATATTATTTATTAAGTCAGTATTTTATATAAATAGTCAGTATTTATAATAAAATATTAGTATGTAATATAAGTAACGCGAACGTGACGCGAGCCTGACGCTTAATTAATTATACTGACCAAACAGATAGAAATCATATATATATATATAAAATAAAATATACAGAATGTATCATAATAGAATAAATAATTTCAATGATTTATTTTGATTAAAATATATGGAAAACGAGAGTAACATTTGTCGTATAATAATTAATAAAATTTCAAGTTTCTATGGATTTCTATAAATGTTAGATGTGACTTTCAGCAATTGTTCGTACATTTTCTAGAAATTCAATTCTATGTAATACTATTTTCCTGAAGAAAAACAAGAACGTTTCTTT